GTTTTTTTTTTTTTTTTTTTTTTTTTTTTTTGGTGGCTGGCTTGACCTTGGTGTTATAACACCACACGCTCAGACAATAATTTTCTACATTAAACTTTTCCTATTCTAATTATGACATACCAACTGGACCCCAACTGACACAGAATGATACTGGGAATGCTACTAGGAGATAGATTCACAAAGATGAGATTTGGCAATCAGTTCAGTTGTGCATTTGGGCTTGAGTACAATGTTGAGCTCCTTGTCAATGGCAAATGGGATGCTAGTCCATGGCATGCAGTGGCCTCATAATTAATCAAGCTGTCACATTTGGTAGATTGTGATGAAGACCCAACTGAAACAATGCCTCAGGAGTCCAAGTGGCTGTTGTACTTGACTACAGGCATCCTGCACAACACTGGCTGAGCATGTCGTAGCAGCAGAAGAGAAGATAGCACACCAAAACCAGAACAAGAAACCCCTTCCTCCTGCGATGTTTCTTAAGCACCCAGTGCACTTAATATGGTGCCAGTTGGCAGAGGATAAATACGAGTATTATAATGCAGGTGATGAGGGTGGATTTAGAGCCAAGAGGCCATGAATTGATTCCTAACTGGCACACCTTCTAAAAAGAAGATGATAAAAAATAAAGATGAGGAGTGATGTGGAATCTGCCACGGACGATGTCCCAACCTGATATTAGAAGTTGTTTTAAATTCTACAGGTACTATTCTCAGTTAATTTCACAAGAATACTATGACAACTTCTCCCTTCTTTCCACTTAAATACCAACAATACGGAAAAATATAAAAATTCTTATCAATAACATAAACCCAGACTGACAGCCAGAATCTGTGAGGATTTCCTCCTGATTGCAAAATGTACTACAGTTAAATTGAGAAACGTAATTGGAAGCCAAAACATGCACTTTTTGTTTTCTGAAAAAAAAAAGCAAATAAGAAATAGAGCCATACTAAGAGAAAGAAATGAGCATTCTTTCTTCACTCTCCTACATTCTCCTCTTTACTAAAAGAAGGAAATAGGTCATTCTTTCATTACCTGGCCCCTGTAAAGACTAGAAAACTGGGCACTGCTTTTCATGGATCACAGATCTCTTCTCCCTCCATTATTCCCACCAGTACCAGCCTTTCTCTGCTCATTTCAAGACTTCAGGTCTGAAAGTGAAAGGGTCTTGGTGAGGTGGAATGGGGGTCACTGGGGGTGTAGAGCCATTGGCCAAAGCCATAGTATCCCGGGAGATAAACATCCCAAAGGTAAAAATGCTACAAAGTCCTAAAAGTTCCTAGAGGCTTGAGGATCATGAGATACATTTTCAGAATAAAATCTTGCAGTAGTTTTACATGGTAAAATCGTACCGTCTTTGTAAACAGTGCAATGCAGCCATGTGCCCTGGGCTCATTGGCACTGAAAACAGAAAAAGGTTAAAAATAAAAGAAAGGCAAACATTTATCAAGCAAATACAAACAAAAGGAAAGTAGGGATGGAAATTTTAATTCCAGACAAAGTAGAATACAAAGCCAAAAGCATTTAAAGGGGCAAAAGGGTTGGCAAGAGGTGTGGTCTTAATAAAGATAAAACAGTCAGAAAAAGTTACCTACCTAACTATGTAACATCAAATTATGAAAAGCAAAAGCTTTGAAATACAAGGAAAAACTGAAAGAAGAACAATTGTTTGGAAGGTTTACGCCATATTCTCAACCTTTTATAAGGCAGGTAGACAGAGAAATCTAGGTAGATAAGAGGGAAAGTGTAAATGCTATTAAGGGATGAGTAGTCAGAAGTTTCAGTCGTTGTCATAAGCCCATGTTCTGGAAAAGGAGATAATGTTCTTCATCTCCAGAAGATTCCACACTAGGGGACACTATGGGTATAACGTCAGGTATTGTTTCTACTTAAGTGGGGAGCAGGGAGGAATTATTTTGTCCAAAGCACATTTAGGTTTATTGGCTTTCAGCTGAAATTCTATGGGCCAGTCAGACTGGTTCAAAAATGTAGTATTGTAGGAAGGACAGGCCACTGGTCATTAATAGCTGGTTAAATATAAACGGATAACACATCTTCTACTGCCAGGCATCTGTCAGCTCTCCCCTGCCCATGTAAGTATTAATGGAATTCAGGTCATAAGGGGTATGAAGGAGGTACCCAGGAATCCCTCTCACTATGCACAGAATTTGAGGGTTTCATATTATGGTGTATCTACACATACAACTCTGATTGATACAAGGCAGCAAAAAGACTTTACTATTTGAGAGTACATGAGGTTTCTGATTTTAAACACATTCACAATGAAAGTATATGGGATTTATTAGGTTTTGTGCACATCAAAATTTACAATATTGCACTGATTTGCTAGCTGACAAGGAAAAGTAAATTTGCATGGCTCTTGTCAATCACATGTGGTTTGGAAATGCTTATGCATTCCAGATACACTCTGTATAAACTGGAGAATCATATCCTATTTCTACTGGTTTGCATGCATGCATATAAAACTTGTTTTCCCACAGTGCCACATGAAAATAAGTGAAGACCTAGCAGCAGTGATCACAATTAATCAACTTCTTTGTCGAAACTATACAGCTATGATGGTGAGAAGAAGTCTTGTCCCTAATATCTAGAGAGGCTGTGACTTCTACTATGTTGGTTTACTTGTGCAGTTCTGTTCCACAGAGCACCTACAGGTAAAGTCAGCAACTGTCACTCACCACAGTTTCTGGTACCTACTGTGTGCCAAGCCCTCTGCTAGGTACTGAGAGATACTAAGCAGAATTCCCACCCCAGAGAGCTCAGAGTTAAAAGAAAAAGAACAGCAGGTAAAAGAACAGTTCCCACCCAATGTGATAGCTCCTTTTGTAGAGTTTGGGTATGTACTATGTCCTATGGAAACAGGGAGGGAGTTTGCCAAAACTTCACAGAAGGCGAATCCTGATGGGAAAGTATGAGTTGAAGTAAAGGGTTAAAAGAAAAAGAACAGCAGGTAAATGAACAGTTCCCACCCAATGTGAGAGCTCCTTTTGTAGAGTTTGGGTATGTACTATGTCCTATGGAAACAGGGCGGGAGTTTGCCAAAACTTCACAGAAGGCGAATCCTGATGGGAAAGTATGAGTTGAAGTAAAGAAGGACTGGAAGCCATTCAAGTAAGTAGAAACATTATGTGCTAAGCTCATCAAGAACACGTGCTTCAGGGACCTGAAAGAAATTCTATATGGCTTCAGGCCAGAGGTAGAGCCAGTAGAGAAAATAATTTGAAAGTGATGAGGGACAGGCAATAATTCTCATAAACAATGTTATTTTAGTAACAATAACATTGTTTATCAGAATTAATAATCTACATTCTTGAGTTAATATTTGAAGGCTTTTGTCACTAAGAAGATATTAAAGTTACAGATGAACTAGCTAATGTTACAATGCCCATTATCTAGACTCTATGTTTTACTGTTTCTCCTTTCCTAGCACTTAGAACAATGTCTAGCACATAGTTAGTGCTCAATTAACATATGCCACTATTACTACATGTGATATATAGCCTCTAAAATGGACCCCAGTGATTCATGCCCTTATGTAAACCTCTCCCCTTGTATGGGCTGGATTTACTGACTCATTTCTAGTGAATAGGATATGCCAGAAGTAATGTGCTGTCCTTTCCAACGTTATGTTATAAAAAGGCTGTGCTTCCCTCTTGGGCAGTCTCTCCTCTATTCACCCTCGCTGGTTCTCTTTCTCTTGGATCATGAGCTGCCATGTCGTAAGGACACTGAAACAGCTTATGGAGAGGCCCTCATGACAAGAAACTGAGCTATGCCTATGTGAAAAAGCCCATTGTTGACACCTATGTAAGTGACCATGGAGGGAAGTCTTCTGAAGCCTGACAATAGCCACGTGAGTGAGCTTAGAAGTGACTTCTCCAGCTCCACCCGAGCCTTGGGGTAACTGCAACTTTGACCAACTGCTTGACTGCAACCTCATAAAAGACCCTACGCCAGAGGCACCCAGCGGAGCTACACCCAGATTCCTCACCCACAGAAACTGTGAGATGATGTTTGCTGTGTCAAACCACTAAATTTTGGTATAATTTGTTACACAGCAATAGATAACTAATATACTGTACTAGTACTGTCTAGTCCCTGTCGTTTCAGGGCTGGGTTTCTGGTATACCTAGGATGGGCATGGGGGGGACTATGGTTTCTCCTTGGTGACTGAGTGCTGATTGAGCACTGCCTGGAACCCCAGCTTTTGTGACTAGGATCCCAATCACCTAGTAATAAGTACATGATCTCCCCTCCCTCCCTGAGTAAATGAACCCTGGTACCTATAGTCTCATTCAATCGATTAGATCATAGTATGATGTATCCCAACTGCAGCACAGACTGTTGTTTGGAGTGCTCCCTCCCCCAACCCTCGGCACACCAACAGTGTGAAGTGTAGTCCCTGTACTACTTGCTGCCTAGAGTCCAGTGAACCTCACAGCCACATCTGCCTAGATGATGACAATCACAGATGTCCACAGAAAGACACATGAAGCTAATGTATTCCCTATTTTCATATGTAACCCTAAATGATTATACGACATGCCTTAGCAAGTAATTGTTCAACTTGCTGTATACACTGTCTAGGTGAGAACAAGTGGAAAAATATACATTGCCTAGGGAACATTGAGTTTTTGGCAGAGAATTTTTGGCAGTTTATATAACAATGTTGACTTGAAGACAGTGGTTTTATATGTAAAAAAGATGTTAAGACCTTGTTGAGACACTAAATAATTACATAAAAATTATGCTCAAATAAGGAAAAAAAGAGCAAAATATAAAACCTAAGCATGCCTTTTACAAATTATTCTTTGCTTGCTTCTTTTGTCTCTTTAGTAGTCCCTAAATCCATTTTTCAGTTAGTGATTAAGCAACCACCGGATACACAACACTATGTAAGTAAATGATAGCAGTGCATCACAACCACAAGGAGAAGGTTTTAAAAAAAAAGAAAAAGAAGAAAGGGGACTTTGTACCTCTGTCTCTGATGACTTTGCCCCTTGTGCTCTGGGATGCAGTTATTGGAAGCTGAAGGACTGATGTGGGAGGATATCCTTAGAGCCACGGCTGAGATGCCCACCAATGGAGATGAGAAATTCAGCAGCACTGAGGTGGTATGGTGAAAGAGGACATGTGGGTGATGGGTCACATTGACAACCAGTGGGTTATGCTGGCATGACAGTTCATAGGTTCCTGAAGAGAAATAAGGACGTGAGTCATGTTTTAAGCCATTCATCTAACACCATGTTTCCATATCTAGTATTCATTTTATCCTCTTAATAGCTGTGTGATGTAGGCAAGATCCCAAACAATCTCAGAGACAGCCATCAAGCTGACTCCTGGGTCTATTGGGTTGTCCTTTAGTGATACTAAAGGGACCATTGTAAGACTCACCAAGAGAGTGGTTGCTTCCACTGACATCAGTTAGGTAAAGGGTCACCGTTGACTGCTGATGCTCCCCAGGGTCCAGACCATCAGAAGTCAAGAAAACGAAAATTGCTGCAGCCACTCCTGGTCTATTGAAACACACCTAGGCATGAGCACACACCCGTATGAGTCATCATTTCCATTGGGATATCAAAGCAAGCACCATGACATTTTTATTCTTCTCAGATACTCATCATTTACAAACTAAGCGCTTCCTTCTCCTTTACAAATGGGAAAAATATGAAATAGGCACAGAAAGGTAATTAAGGTTGCATGAAACCTCAAGACGAGATGGAAAGGCGATAATTTTCAGCTACTGAGCATCCCGTCTTTTTCTGAGAGTGCTTACATCAACGATTTCTTTTTTAACTTGGATCTGCCTTTCTTTAAATTTCTCAAAAAAAGATCACTCAAAAAGACCATTGCTGGAGACAGTCAACTACCACATAGCCAACCGGTACCTACTTATTCCCAAAGTGAGAGAGGTCAAGATGATTACCAAGCAAACATCAAGTTCTGAACTGTTGCAAGTGCTCAACTGCAATAGCTGCTGGTCCTGTCCTATCACCCTATCTCCCCCAAGCCCCCAATTTTTATCAGAGCCTCTCATTTAGCATGTGAACTATGATACGGGAGAGAGGCTACTGCAGAGCCTATTACTTCTGAGATTAGAATCAGCCAAATGGCTTGTACTTATGCAGTTTTCCTGGTGCCCCAAGCATATATACCCTGTTCCTGACTGGAAAACAAGCCAACACTGAGGCACAGGAAAACCCAGATATTTATCAGGAATATTCCTAGATGGTTAGACTAATTAACACTAAAACAGTATTTCAAAGTAAACTACAGAAGGCTTGTCCCTGGGAATCCTTTAGTAGAAAAGTTGGAGGATAAAGTATAGTCCCTCTACCAGGTAAGAGTCCTGGGCTTATTTTCCACACTGGACTTGTTTGATGCAGTAATTCTACTTTTGTTTTACTTCCTAGAGCTGGACATTACTCTGAATTTCTGTGGAGAATACATTCCAACTTTTCCTGGTGTTACATGGGTGTTATAATATTAGAATATGGTGCTGGACCTTCCAAAGTTCTGTGTGCATTTCTCTAGCTTTTTATCAGGTTCTAAGGGGTATGCAGCCCAAGGAAAATCGTTCTCAGTGTAAAAGCTGGATACAACATCTAGCGGCAGGGACCGCCTCTAAAACTGGGGAGCAGGAAGAGTAAAACATGTTTTCCATTTTAACAAGAATTCTTTCTTGTCCACAGACAGATTTTTTTCTCAGTCTTGGCAGTGTGTTTATAGAGTGTCCATTTGCACTGCTGGCTTAATTAGGGTGATTTTATGGTTTGCAGTGGTCAAAGCAGCACAGCTCTCCCTTCTTCCTCTCCCCATTGGAGGGGAAGACCATCCGCACTCTCTTTTTACAGTGTTTTTTTTTTTTTTTTTCATTTCCCCTCTTTGAAGTAATAAATATTCCTTCATTACTTAAGAAACATCCAGACCCATAGGTTACAGCTTACAATATGAAGTCCTCTGTCCCTGTCTGGATGAGGGCTAGACATGAAACACATCGTAAGGTAACTAGGAGCTTAATTCTAAGCCCTCAGCTCCAGCATCAAATGACATCAGGTCCCCTGGGAACTCCCACAGCCTCTTACTTTTCATATACCACAAAAGAGACCTGAGTACTGGAAAAAAGTTCTGGGTCTTTTTCTGAGCCAGGAACTGACAAGAGTCCAAACAAATATCTGGTGGCTTTACCCCAGTAGGCCTCAGATCTGAAGAGTAGAGTGGCTTCTCCAAGTAACAGGAGAGCTCAGTCTTCCCATCTTCTTTTGAGTCCCAAAATAGATACCACCCACCTGAAATTAATTAGTAGAGCTAGGTCTTACAGTGTGGGTTTCCCTGTCCTAAGGGCCCATGCCCAAAACCTCCAACCCATTTTACACCTCCTAGCAATATGCTGCCTTGCTCTAAGGGCCTTTGAATACCAAATCATTTTAAATCTAAAAGCCTGTTCCTTGTGGCAGTGTCTGCACTGTGATTTGTGGGAAGAGGCAATGCAGAATTTCCAGGCCCTGGCTTAAGTAGGAAAACCACAGGTGAGACTTGCAAAGGAGACTCAGGCTGAGGAATGTTGGGCAACACAAAGCAAAGAGAGACAAGGATTTAATTGAGTCTAGAATGCTGAGTCTCACAGTGACATGAAAAGGTAGCCAATTTCATCCTCTTGGGAACCCCAAGTATGTTCCACAGCAGCAACTAGAAGAAAAAGAAAATATAAACTCTCTTGTACAAGCATTGCAGCCTCAGAAGCAGAAACTAGTCTTAATCTGCACATGCGGGGCAAAAGGAACCAAGTAAATTCACTGTTCTGGAGAGTTGATCAGGCAGAAGCTCTGGGTATGACTCTGGTTTTGACTCTTTACTAGCCAAGAGATCAAGCAATCCATCTCTCCTCTCTGAGCCTAGGGTTCCTCTTTTCCACAGCTGAGAAATATGGATATTACCTATCTCACAAGGTTATTTTAAAGATTAAGTGATATCATGTGGAAACACATAGAACAGGGCCTATTGTATTGTAAGAACTCAATGTTCAGTAATTCTTATTTTCAAAAATTAATGTTTTTATCCTGTTTACATTGCAGGAAGAAAAGAAAGAATAAGGTTTTTAAATTAAATCTACATCTGCATGTTTTTATATATGGAGAATTATGCTTTTCTGAATGTATAGGTTAAAATTTTTCATATATGCTATTTTCAATATCCTGTTTACATTGCAGGAAGAAAAGAAAGAATAAGGTTTTTAAATTAAATCTACATCTGCATGTTTTTATGTATGGAGAATTATGCTTTTCTGAATGTATAGGTTAAAATTTTTCATATATGCTATTTTCAATTGACGCTCATAAAAATGGGAATTGCTACTCCAGATTCTGCTTCTATAGAAACTGTCAATATTTGAGGCTCTTAATATAGAATGTTTCTCTACTTTATAAATGGAATCTATGAAAAATACATTATACATATAATTATTTTAATACACTTTTCAGAAAATCTAATTCAACATGTGTTTATTAAAAATCTACATTTGTTGTACAAAGAGACATAGAAACTTCCAGAATTGACAGTGTAATTATAAAATTAAAAATGTATTTCTTATTCAAAGGTATTTTTAGAAGTTTGCTCTTTCCACAGTCAAGTCATAGTTGTCTTAATATATGTGATAGTCCAGACAATGTTTACTTTATATAAAACAAATAATGAATTTTATGATCCTACACTTGAAAGACAAGTGGGAGCTAGAGCAGAAAATTTGGCAACAGTAAGCTCTACGACTCCACTCCCTTCACCACTAAGTATGACACTCCTCTTATCACCACACCAGGTGCATAATTGTGAACAGCTGTCCCCTTCAGGACAAAGCTCACCTGAAGCATTCCCTGGGGACTTCTTAGATCTGAGATGTGTACCAGGCATGCCCAATAAGAAAAATCCAAAGTGCCAGAAAGTCAAAAGGATTGTTGTCTTTATCTAACATTTTATTATTTGCTTTGATAAGAAGATCACATTCATGTATTACATGGGCAACATAAAATTAATTTAAATATGTTCCTGACAAGAAAGAAAAACTACAGCTAGATACCAGGAAGGAGACAGAGCCCTCTAGAAAAGCAAGCAATTCTCAGGTCTGAGGAATGGTCTTTACATAGAGGGATTGCCAGTGAAATTAGCTCAGTGAATCCATCACAAAATACTTTGAATCAAAGAGAAAACATAAAGGAGATAGATAAATAGATAAACAGATCGATAGGTCAATAGATACCAACAGACAGAAAGCCAGCTCCACATATTCAATTCTTTTTTTTTTTTTTTCATCCAAAGACTGCACATTAATT